AGCAATTAATGCATACCTGTTTGACCGGCAGTGAAAGTTTCGCGCCGACCGACATAGTTCTTCACTGTTTCGCGGGTTAGACGGAGGCGGGGAGGGGCTTATCATTTTTCGTGTCCTGGCACGCTTCCTGGAGCTGGTGACCATGTTTTTGGGACGCGCGGTTCTGGTGCGTAGACGGCAGGCGAAGCCTCCCGACTACCTGCGGAACACAGTTGACCTGCACGCAAAGGCTCCGGGGCAGCTCTGTGGGCCTCGATGCGGACAACATAACACAATGCTTGTCCACTGCTATCGACCCCTTTGATATTATTGCTGTTCCTCCACCTCCGGCATTTTGTAGGCACGTTATGGTATGATATCGTATTGCATATCTCTATCATATTTCTATTTTTCCCACTTCTATTTTTCACATGCATCCGGTGCATTGCAACAACTGCCCCGAAATTATTACTTTTCTCGGGATTTAAACCTTGTATATGACTCGCATCTCATATACGCCAGGAAACGTCCATGGGAGGTGGAGTTATTCTTGCACCTATCTGCTCACCTAACTTTGATGATGAACTTGAAATGTCAAATGGCGATATTACACGCTTAATAGTTATAAATTTAGGATGGTAATGAGCACGAATCATGCCAAAAAACGATCAAATTTTAAGAGAAGCATCGAACATGGTAATGGCACAGACGTAAGTCAACAATTCAGCGAAAAAAACGTTCTGTGAGATTTAGACTAGAATGGCGGGCAATTTGACAGATAATATGTCTTGGTGGCCAAACAACATAAACGAAAGGCATTTGCATGCGAGGTGGCATGATATTCCAAACCCGGTGAGTGTAGCTTGCATTCAAACACGTTAAGTGTTTTGGGAGACAGAATGTTAGTACCTACCAAAACTGGATAAGTGTCATAAGCCCATGAGCAGCACTAGCGCCATCTTTAACGCAGGTGTTGGTACCAATGCGTCACCTAGCTTAGCGTTGCAACGCCCGTGCAAAAGGACTTGCAATTTGGAGCCAAGCTTTAAATTCCAGAAACCGCACCTGGCGTAAAAAGACCACACGTTTAGCCTGACACAGAAGGCTTTTCAGCCGTCTGTACCTTTTAAATCTGCCCAAAGATTTCCTTTGAAAAGGACCCTTTTCCTTCGGGCTTACAATACTGTGGCTTGCCAGGGAGCCCTACGGTGACGTCACGACGTCAGTTGCCAGATAGCTCTTTTGCTGGGGAGGGAGGGGGGGGGTGGGGCAGGCGGGACGAAACTATGTTGCCATTTAATAATTAAAATTAATCGCACACATAGTTCCGGGCTGTGCCTTCTGGCTCTAGCTAGATTCGTCAAGCTGGAGAAGTCCCCGTCAATAGCGGATTCAGAACGTTGCGTATAGAGGGTGGGGCGCTGGGGTGCCAAAGTTCAGATAGGCTGCCTGATTTAGAAACTTATAGGTATTCCTGCTGTTGCTCATGTTTTAGAACAAGCCGCTCCTGATGAAAGACGCTTAGATTTTTCGTCAAAGGCCAGAATGTCGTGTTTTTGCACAACTTGGGACATCTCCAATGGGTTCGTCCTTGGTTTCAGTCACCAGCTTTGCCAGCCGCCCGCGCATCTTCGGAAGGGAAGATGGAATATCCAAGGAGGGGACATGGTGCACAACTTGTTGAAATATATAAAGCCGACATACATCGCAGCTGGCACATGCCGACTCCAGAGCGATTCCAAAACTTCCCTTCCTCTTATCGGAAAAGCAGCGCATGAGCTCGCCTTGTGACAAACCAGTGTGTTCACTTACTTTCTTTGATGAATCCCAGGTGCGAAAAAAGAAGCTTAAAAATAAAGACTCAAGCGCAGTTATAAATGTGCGTGTGTGCGTGTGTGTGTGTGTTGTGTGTGTGTGTGTGTGTGTGTGTGTGTGTGTGTGTGTGTGTGTGTGTGTGGGTGTGTGTGTGGTGTGTGTGTGTGTGTGTGTGGTGTGTGTGTGTGTGTGTGTGTGTGTGTGTGTGTGTGTGTGTGTGTGTGTGTGTGTGTGTGTGTGTGTGTGTGTGTGTGTGTGTGTGTGTGTGTGTGTGTGTGTGTGTGTGTGTGTGTGTGTGTGTGTGTGTGTGTGTGTGTGTGTGTGTGCGCGCGCGCGCTTGTGCTAGCCAAACGACTCCGAAGTATGAACACACACCCGCCTGGCAGTACCGAATTGCTTGGTAGTACCGAAATTCCTGTGTGTAATTAATTTCAGTGTATGTAATTATCTAGTTTGGTTTTGTGTAGGTATTCGAAGAGGAGCGCCAAGAGTTCCGGATGTGTGTCGCCCAGTATGGTAGGCAGCGTGAATGGGAGTTTGTGTTTGTGTACTGCACGAGTTTTTCCCGGCCGCGCCTGTACACTGGGCACGCCAGCATGAAATGTGCTATTGTGTATGGTGTGTGACAGTAGTGACAGAGTGGTGGTGGGTTGCGTTCAAAGAGGTATACGTGAGTTAGTTTTGTGTGTTCTATTCGCAGCCTAGCGAGGAGGATTTCCTTAAGGCACGTATTCTGGTTGCCTGAGCTCCAGAGTGAAAGTGTTGGCTTGATGGCGTGCGTGTGTTGGCGGCCATGTTCGCCCCATTGACGTTGTAAAAAGCAGCGGTATTTTGAATTTATAACAGTCAGATGGTCAGATACTGGGCAGGCGAGATGGTTTCGGGCTGGCATGTTGATGCTTTCTTTAGCGGCAGCGTCGGCGAGGTCATTCCCCTGGATGGGCCTGGTATCCATAGGAAGACCACGTGTGACTCCGCTGGTAGTGATGCTAGTGCGGAGAGGATTTTATAAATCAAAGATTGTGAGGAATTGTGCAAAGCTGATATGGCGTGCAGGGAGGAGCTGGAGTCGGTGCAAATTACGGTTTGTTTGATGGCATGCTTTTTAACATGGCAAAGTGCTGAAAAGATTGCTACTTATTCTGATGTGTATACAGTATGATAATCTGAAAGACGTTTGGCTTTGGTATAATGGTTACAGATGTATGCCGCTCCCATGCGGTCATCACCTCGGGAGCTATCAGTATAAATGTATGTATATGTATCGTATTCATTACGAAATTCCGTATTTGTAACGGTATGTTTTTTGTGCGTAAATAGAAACCAAATCGTTGCAGGGGTGTCCAGCCAGAACATGCATAGTGGAGGCGAGGGAAGCGTGTGGATGTGTGGCAGTTGAAATAGGCATTGTGCTCGTGTTACGCGGGCGCTGATTGTGGGGTGCTCGCTGCGTTGTGAAATGGGTGTTGTTAGTGTTTTGAAAGTGGGCTGGGTGGGTCTGGCAGCTGCCCGCGCGTGGAATCTGATAAGTTGTTGCTTGCGTCGGTGCATGAGTGGTGATATGTGTGCTTCCGCCAGTATGCTGGACACCGGGGAGATTCGGAGGGCGCCAGTGGCCCCGCGGAGGGCGGCGTTCTGAATCGTTTCCAGGGCCTTAATTTTGCTGGAAGAAATACGATCAAATATAAAGGCATTGAACTCCAAGATCGGCCGTATCAAGGCGGTATACAGACGGAGCAGGGTGCGCCTACCGGCTCCCCACTCTCGTCCGGCAAGACATTTTAGGATATTAAGTCGACGGGTGCAGCGTTGTTTTAGGTCGGCAAAGTGGTGCGAGAACGTAAGTCAGCTATCCAGGGTGACCCCGAGATATTTAAATTGGGTGACGAGTGGGATGAGCTGACCATGCAGGTTCAAAGGGGCTTGAGGCGCAAAGATTACGCGCTGCCTAGAAAAAGTAAGTGCTGCTGATTTTAGCGGTGAAATCTCAAGACCCCACCGGTCACACCATTGGTGGATGTGATTTAGAGCAAGTTGTACAAAGCAATTGGCTCGTTCGATACCGGGGTGTGTAAACCACACCGCCAAGTCGTCGGCGAGAAGGGAATCTTCCAAATGTGGCGAAATTTCATGCAAACCATTAAAAACGTCGTTGATCATCATTAAAAAGAGCGTCGGCGAGACCACGCTGCCATGGGGAAGCCCATGGTACTGTTTCGCAGCCGCTGACAGCGTGTTCCCGCAGCGAACGACAAAGGTTCGATCTGCCAAGAAATTTTGCAAAAATTTGGCGAGTCGGCCACGAACTCCCATCCTGTGCAGTTTAATCAAAAGGGCAGTCTTATTTACTTTATCAAATGCGGCTTTAAGACCCAAAAATAGTGTAACCGTAACCATTTTTTGTTGGAAACCACGTTGGACTGAATCAACAGGTTGGACGAGCCTGTCCGCCGTGGAGCGGCCAGGGCGGAAGCCGCTTTGGTAAGGGCAAATAAGATTGTGGGACTCTAAGTAGGCCCTGATTCGAGCGGTGACCATTCTTTCAAATAATTTCGATGCACAGCTTGACAGAGAAATAGGGCGGTAGCTCGAGGGATCAGACGGGGGTTTGCGAGGTTTTAGTATGGGGATAAGAGTGCTGGAGCGCCAAGTGTCAGGGAACGTTTCATTAATCCAAATATCGTA